ATTTAACCTGTCCACTTCATTTTTAATATGATTACCGCATTCTTTATTTTGGCTTGTATTTGTTCTTTTCCAAATTTCTCATTATTTCTTCTTTTCCTTTCCTTCATTGAGGTTTCCATTCCTTCCTTTTTTCCTTTTGTATGAAGTGTACCATGTATGCCCAAATATATTTCCAAATAGATAAATACATACTCATAATATGAATGTATTGATTTAGTTTCATGTGTCTGTGTAAACACATCTGTAAAATAATATATTAATATGAATTTCTTGTCTCATTGGCACATTTTACAAAATAATTTTATTATAGCCTTTTACATTTAACTTTAGCAAACTGTTTATAGCATTACAGTAGCTGTTTTTTAAGTGATCAGAGCACTCAAGGGACCAGAAGATGGCATAATGGTTATGTCGCTGGACTCTCACATGGCTGACCATAGTTCGAGCCTCAGACCTAGAGGCTTGAAACTTATGCTGGGTGCATATGTGTGCGTGCCCAAAATCCTGAGAGAAGAATGGAGAAGGGATTGCAGCATGGCCATCCCCCTGAGGGGGGTGATTCCTCACTTTCTGTCTGTCTCTCTGGCGAGCGCACATGCCCTATAGCAAAAATGTCTCTGAAAAAAAATAATCATAGCATTCTAGAGTAATCACAGAACATTTGGAGATGTCAGTAAATGTGGATTCATGTTTGTAGGTCTGAGATGGAGCCCAAGATTCTATTTTTCTAACAAGCTCTCAGGTTTGTTAAGCCCACTCATGTGGATCCCACTTTTAAGTGACAAGGTTTTAGAACATACCATCTGCACTCGTTAGCTGTTTTAATTTAAGCATTTCTTATTTATTTTATTATATTATTATTTTAAAATTTTTGCTGTCGGACATGTGTTCTTGTTGGAGAGAGACAGAGAGAAACATAGAGAGTGAAAAATTGAGAGACCACTCCCCATGGGGGATGACCACACTGCAGTCCCTTCTCTCAGGATTTTGGACACACACACACATACACACACGCCCAGTGTGATTTTTAAGCTGCTGGGTCTAGGTCTCAAACTGGAGTCAGCCATATGGAAATCCAGTGCCTTAACCACCATGCCACCTGCTGGCCCTAGGGTATAAATATTTTTACTGTAGCTTGCCAAATTCCTTTCAGAAAGATTAAACTAATGTTTGTGTTTATTACCAACATCTGAAGGTGCCCTTATTACTATTGGGTCATCAGAAAAGTAATGACAGATGCATAGAAAAATACATCATGACTTTTCTGGTGTCCCAATATGTGCTTGCCTACATTGATATTGTTGTTTTTTCAACTTCAACAATGTCATAGGTGTGAAACCAAATATCATTTTTTTTTTTGGAGAGGATTTTGCCATAGGGCATGTACACTCACCAGAAAGACAGAGAGAGACAGAGAGACAGAAAGCAAGAAATCACCCCCCAGGGGGGATGGCCACGCCGCAATCCCTTCTCCTCCATTCTCCTCTTGGGGTCTTGGGCATGCACGCAGATGTACCCAGCGTGAGTTGAAGCCACCAGGTCCGGGACTCGAATCATGGTCAACTACATGAGAGTCCAGTGACATAGCCATTATGCCAACTTCTGGTCCCAAAACTGAATATCATTTTTAAATGTTCCAATTACTAATAAGAAAGCATTTTCTCCTCAAATTTTTTATTTTTTACTTGTGTTCTTTTTTTTTTCTTTTGCTTCAAAATGACCTGTATGAAGGATCTTCAAAAACTTCATGGAGAGACCAGCAGATGACATAAATGTTCATGGAAAATGCATAGTATGAGAAAAACAAATAATTTTTTTGCATCAGAATAAACTTGTACTTTTTTTTTTTTTTTAAATTTTTGCCGTAGGGCCTGTGCACTCACCAGAGACAGAGAGAGACACAGAAAGAAAGTGAGAAATAATCTCCTGGAGGAGTTGGCCATGTAGCAGCCTTTTCTCCTTCGTTCTCCTCTCAGGATTTTGGGCATGCACACACATGTACTGGTGTGACTGTCAAGGCACCAGATCCAGGGCTTGAGCCTCGAGCCTAAGCTAGACATGTGGGAATCCAGCACCTTAACCACGATCCCATCTGCTGGCCCGGAGCTTATACTTCAATTCTAATTTCACACTTTTTGAAGTCTCCTTACCTAAAAACCTTATGTTTCTTTTCTTTTCCTTTCTCTCTCTCTCTCTCTCTCTTTTTTTTTTTTTTTTGAGAGGTTTTAGCTATAGGGTGTGTGCGCTCACCAGAAAGACAGAGAGAGACAGAGAAACAGAAAGTGAGAAATCACTCCCCAGGGGGGATGGCCACACCGCAATCCCTTCTCCTCCATTCCTCTCTCAGGATCTTGGGCACGCATGCACATGCGCCCGGCGTGAATTTAAGCCACCGGGTCCAAGGCTCGAACCGTGGTCGACTACATGGAAATCCAGCAACATAGCCATTATGCTAACTGCTGGTTCTAAAACCTTACATTTATTTTCTGTGTAAAAAGTGGATTGGAACATTTTTGTTACTGATCCATAAGGTCTTTTTTTTATATGTATTTTCCATAACTTTTCTGACAACCTCAAGGGTGTATATATGCGTGGGTAGCGTAAATAAAATCAAAGAAAATTGGGTGGAGGTGTGTTTGGAATTCAAGTCTGTCTAGCATGGAGAGGGATTACCCAGCAACCGCTTGGAGCTGGGAGATGGGGTATGTGGTGGCGCTTCCAGGTCAGCTCTCAGTTGGGTTTGTGGGAGGTAGAAAGCAGGAGCACACAGCAGAATGTGAGTAATTGGGCAGTTTCTTAGCTCCCCAGAGTCACTGATCTGTTTATGGGTTACGATCCCCAATTCCCTCTGTGGTGCATTTTCAGAAGGCAGACTGGCAATCAAACAGTAATTGCTTCCTTCTGTGTGGATTTCTCATTGCCAAGACTGCCTGCCAAGTAGGAAGAGTAAAGTGACTTGGAATTAGACATCAGCCTGCAGTGTGCCCAGGGTTGTGGTGGCCTAGAGCTCACATTTTCCAGTAGAATCCTGATTTCACATATTTTACTCTGTTAGTCTTATAAACAACTCAGGAGCCCTAGAGATCCCATCGAAGCTGTATTTTTTGAAGTGCTGCGTGCTACTGGAAGAAACACAGAAATCCTTTGTTAGGCTACATCGTCTCGGCTTGGGTTTGAAAATGTATCACTGTTTTTATGGAAAGAAGACGTTTTTATTGTTGGTTTAGAAAAGTAAAAAGAGTCCTATTTGGGGTGTATCAAATTAGAAAGTGCTGACCCAGTATTCCAGATCTCTTTAGGCATCTAAGGACTCTTTCTCTTGGGCTCTCTGCATTGAAGTGTGTGTACAGGCATTTGGTCAGGTTTCTCCTCACCATCTACTGGGTAGATGCTAGAAACTCAGTGATAAATAACATGGACTATGCTCTCAGAGGTTACACAGTCCTTAACAGGAATATATGAGGTATGTGTATCTATATAGATAGATAGATAGATACACACACACACACACACACAATATGTATAAAGTAATTAATACAAGTTTTTTTTTTTTTGAGGGGTTTTTGCTATAGGGTGTATGCACTCACCAGAAAGAGAAAGAGAGAGAGAGAGAAAGAGAGAGAAATCACACACCCCCCAAGGGGGGATGGCCACACCGCAATCTCTTCTCCTCTCGGGATCTTGGGCATGCACACACACACACACGCCTGGTGTGAGTTTAAGCCACCAGGTCCAGGACTCAAACCGTGGTCGACTACATGGGAGTCCAGCAACATAGCCATTATGCCAACTGCTGGTCTCAATTAATACAAGTTTTTAAACTTTTTTTTAGAGTTCACTTTAATTCTTTCAGGAGAGAGACAGAGATGACAGAGAGAGACAGACACACAGTCAGGTTCCCTCCCACACCATAATCTTCCCCTAGCCTTCCAGCCAGCCAGGATTACAAGCATGCATGAGCACACCAGCATGTTCAGGTTGACCCATGGTTGACCTGGGCCTCCCATGTGACTCTGTTCTCAGGCAGTGGTGCACTCACACCTGCAGCAATGCAACTGCACCTAGCACATGCTTAAAAGCACGGGTATGTCAGGGATATAGAGCTCTCCCAACTGGGTAGATCCAAAAAGATTCCAGTTCACTCCATCCTTGCCAAAATGAGTATAGTAATTGTTGTTTATTGCTATGTGATGCATTAACCCAAACACAGTGGCTTTGAAAAACTGCCATCACTTAAATATTCCACAATGTGAATACTGCTCTGCAGCGATAGCTTCTCCCTGTTCTACCTGGTGTCAGTTTACCTGGGCTGGAGGACCTAAGATGGTTCATTCACAAGTCATTGCATCTGGCATGGCTGAGACAGTGGGGCTGTCTTCTTAGTAGGTAACTGAACTTTGTTACATAAAGATTTAAGGCCAAAGAGCAGAAGAGTTGAAGTTGTCAGGCCCAACGGCCCAGGCCCAGGATGGGTACCATGTCTCTTCCACTGCAGCCTCTTGACCAGAGCTGTCCCTGGTCTGGCCCAGAGTAGGATCTGCCTCTTGATGAGAGGAGCAGAATATACACATAGGCACAGGAGGGATATTTGATGACCATCTGTGCAGCCTACCACAGGAACCTCAAAGAAGCTCATCTCAAAGAAAACACACTTACCAATTTAAAAGCCGAAGAAGGGATCTCATTGTCTTGTCCAGTGTGTTTTTCATCACTGGTGAGGGCTGGCTGTGTTTTCCCAGTCCAAGCGTGTGAGCTGCATGTGTCAGTCTTAGTAGCCATGGTCACTCTGACACACCTCTTCCTACCTCACTCAGCCCAGGATTATATTAAGGTGATTCCTGCAGAGTTTGCATTATGAATAAATCTGCCGAGGTAGAAGTGGCCTTCCTGGCTTCTTACTCATCCCTTTCTCTTCCCCTTTCACTACTTCCTCTTTTCCAGGGCATTGCTCATGTGTTCACCTTTCTTACTGAGGTTCCTGCTCTTGTCTCTTGTTCCAGGCACTAAAACCGGTGCAGATATTAGTGATGGTGTCTGTGAAACTGGACTGTCTTCCCCAGCCTCCTACATGAACCCATTTCCAGTGCTCCATCTCATCGAGGACTTGAGGCTGGCCCTGGAGATGCTGGAGCTTCCTCGGGAGAAAGCAGCCCTCCTGAGCCAGATCCCAGGCCCCACAGCTGCCTACATAAAGGAGTGGTTTGAGGAGAGCTTGGTGAGTAGATCCATGGCTGGTTGGGGAAGCCCTGAGGAACATCATCCTGCAGCCTGAGCAATGCCATCACTGACTGTGGCTGTGGATGGTCTGTATACCTTTCAACGTTTCTCACTTCTCATCCAGCTTTGGCCAAGCCCTGCTGGGCGGTCCTTCCCAGCCAGAGTGTAGGGCCCAGTCACGCAACTTAAGCTGTGTACCCTGCCTTCTTGTGGGCTAGAGCCACTGTCTCTTAAGAGGAAATCTAGGGCCAGAGAAGGGCCACTCCCCCACCATCAAGAACTCCATAATGCCTGGTTTGGGTCTTTAACCTTGGCTGAATTCCATTACCTCTTGTTTCTTACCACAAACTAAAGCCTGCATTAATTTTTTACCTTTGCTCCTATTCCTTGCTCAAGAGCTACCTCGTGTTCTTGGTGTGGGATGCACCTTTGCTAACTGTTCTGCTTTCTCCAGAATAGGCCCACAGACCCACTAGTCTCTAGGGAAGCAGATGGATAAACAAAACCATAATGTAACTCTGGAAACCAGCAGATCAATTTTTTAAAAAAGGATTTATTTGTGTAATTTTATTTGTTGTTATTATTATTATTATTATTTAAATTTGACCAGAGAGAGAAAGGGAAAGTAAGAAAGCAATCTGCCAGGTCCAGGACTTAAACTGTGGTTGGCCATGTGGGAGTCCAGTGCTTAAACCACCATGCCACCTGCCAGCCCCTCAGCAAGCCAGTTTTAGGACTGGTGATATTTGGGAATAGCCCATTAACAAGACGATCTGGAATGCAGTCATTTGAGGCTTGAGGGAGGACTCTAGGAAGCCAGGATCACCTAAGCTGAGATGGCAGATGAAGACAAGCAGCCTTTTAAAGCTAGAGTCTTGCATACCTGATTCACAATTGAAAAATATGAGCTGGTCCCATAGCCTAGTGGTTGAGGGAGCCAGGTTTCACATGGCCGACTACAGTCGAATCCTAGCCGCCGGTTGACTGAGAAACATGTAAGGTGCCTGTGCTTGCATGCCCCAAATCCCAGTAGGTTGGAGAAATGGAGGAGAAGTGACTGTGACATGACCACACTCCACTGGGGATGCTTTCTCTCTTTCCTCTCTTCTTGTCTGTGGTGAGCGTACATGCCCTCTGGCAATTAAAAAAAAAAGAAAAAAGAAATAGAGTAGCTTAGATTATCCACGTTGGTCCAGCGTAAGCACCAGGACCCTTATAAGAGTCTTCCCAACTATTCCCTGAACCCTTCAATTAGGTTGATGAGGCTCGTTTTATTTCCTCCCTCTCAGCTCTGCCCAGGACGCTATCATCACACAACCAGGAGATTCACTCAAGTGTCTTCCCTAACGAAAGCCCAGTCTGCCCATTATACAGACAACTGGTTTTATTCCTCCCTGGACAGTTTACAGGGACTTTGGATATTTCGTAGTCATGTTGTATTAATATACCCTAATTTTTATAATTGAATGTTGACAGATTATTTATAATCTTTTATTAATATATGACATTTCTGCAGTGAATATGTTTCTCTGGAAATATTTGTCCTTACCACTAGCATTGGGTCACCAGAAAAGTCATGACGTGTTTTTCTGTACAAAAATACATCATGACTTTTCCAACAGCCCAACATGCTTAGAGTCCAAGTAGGATTACCAGGCAAAATGAAAGATGCCCAGTTAAATTTGATTTTAGATAAGCAATAAATACTTTTTAATAAGTACGGTCTACCCAGTTTGCTAAATCTGGCAACTGTAATCCAAAGGTATTCATATCTTTAAGCCTTTGACACTATTTAAATTTGACCAGAGAGAGAAAGGGAAAGTAAGAAAGCAATCTGCCAGGTCCAGGACTTAAACTGTGGTTGGCCATGTGGGAGTCCAGTGCTTAAACCACCATGCCACCTGCCAGCCCCTCAGCAAGCCAGTTTTAGGACTGGTGATATTTGGGAATAGCCCATTAACAAGACGATCTGGAATGCAGTCATTTGAGGCTTGAGGGAGGACTCTAGGAAGCCAGGATCACCTAAGCTGAGATGGCAGATGAAGACAAGCAGCCTTTTAAAGCTAGAGTCTTGCATACCTGATTCACAATTGAAAAATATGAGCTGGTCCCATAGCCTAGTGGTTGAGGGAGCCAGGTTTCACATGGCCGACTACAGTCGAATCCTAGCCGCCGGTTGACTGAGAAACATGTAAGGTGCCTGTGCTTGCATGCCCCAAATCCCAGTAGGTTGGAGAAATGGAGGAGAAGTGACTGTGACATGACCACACTCCACTGGGGATGCTTTCTCTCTTTCCTCTCTTCTTGTCTGTGGTGAGCGTACATGCCCTCTGGCAATTAAAAAAAAAAGAAAAAAGAAATAGAGTAGCTTAGATTATCCACGTTGGTCCAGCGTAAGCACCAGGACCCTTATAAGAGTCTTCCCAACTATTCCCTGAACCCTTCAATTAGGTTGATGAGGCTCGTTTTATTTCCTCCCTCTCAGCTCTGCCCAGGACGCTATCATCACACAACCAGGAGATTCACTCAAGTGTCTTCCCTAACGAAAGCCCAGTCTGCCCATTATACAGACAACTGGTTTTATTCCTCCCTGGACAGTTTACAGGGACTTTGGATATTTCGTAGTCATGTTGTATTAATATACCCTAATTTTTATAATTGAATGTTGACAGATTATTTATAATCTTTTATTAATATATGACATTTCTGCAGTGAATATGTTTCTCTGGAAATATTTGTCCTTACCACTAGCATTGGGTCACCAGAAAAGTCATGACGTGTTTTTCTGTACAAAAATACATCATGACTTTTCCAACAGCCCAACATGCTTAGAGTCCAAGTAGGATTACCAGGCAAAATGAAAGATGCCCAGTTAAATTTGATTTTAGATAAGCAATAAATACTTTTTAATAAGTACGGTCTACCCAGTTTGCTAAATCTGGCAACTGTAATCCAAAGGTATTCATATCTTTAAGCCTTTGACACCTTTTTCCAAAAAACTACTTTTCGGAAAGATATTATCCCTTTATATTTTCACTAGCAAGATCGGGAGTGAGTCTGTCACATAGCACCCTGATGAGTAATAATAGCTAAGAGTTAAAATACAGTTTTAGTAATTTTTTTTTTCAGAGGTTTTTGCTGTAGGGCACGTGCACTCACCAGAAAGACAGAGAAAGAGAGACAGAAAGCGAGAAGTCATCCCCCATGGGGGATAGCCATGCTGCAATCCCTGCTCTTCCATTCTCCTCTCCGGATCTTGGGCACACATTCACATGTGCATGGCATGAATTTAAGCCACTGGGTCCAGGACTCGAATCGTCGTCGACTACATGGGAGTCCAGTGATGTAGCCATTATGCCAACTGCTGGTCCCCAGCTTTACTGATTTTATGGGGGAAAAGTTTTACTATCATTTTTATGTTTCTTTATTTAGTAGGAAGGTTAAGCATTTAGAAAATTAGCTAAGGGCTGGCCCAATAAGCTAGTGGTTAGTTTATTAGCATTTTTCTTCTGTATGGATTCTAAACTTTTGATCTCATACCCTATCTTAAAAAAAATTCATTCCTCATATGTACATATTCACATATGCATTTGTTTACTAATATATTTTAATTACAAAAGGTAATTAAAATTGAGATTTTAAAAGGGTGAGTTTAAAAAATAGTTTTAGGGGGCCAGCAGGTAGCATGGTGGTTGAGGCACATTGGGCTCCCCCCTGGCCGATGACAGTTCAAATTACGGATCTGACAGTCTTGCTTTCTCACTGTCCCTCTCACTCTCTCTTTCTCTTTCTCTCTCTCTCCGTGATGGGTACATGTGCCCTGTAGAAAATGTAAAAAATAGTAAACAAAATTAAATAAATAACTTAAAAAAATAGTTACAGTAGTTTCTTCCCACACACCACAGAGATGTCTTTGAACTCCTCAGGTGTTCTTATCCCACTCTAGTCTGTTCATATTCTTTTTTATTTACTTATTTGTAGAGTTTTTTCAGGAGAGAGAGACAGACAGATGAGTATTCTTACAGTCTCATGTGGCAGTGTCCCCACCCCCCCAGCCTCAGCCAGTCAGGACCTTGGGCATGCACACCTGGCACATACAGGTCAACCCGGGACCCAAACCCCCTCTTCCATATGGCTTCCAGCATTGCAGAGCATTGCACTGCGCCCTTTTACCTCATAGCTGGGCCTAATCTATTCATTCTCAATGCTCCTTTTTCTATTAGCATTTTAGTGCTTTTTTTTGTGGACAAGGCATCTTCAGAAAGTTCAGGAAAAATACATGTAATGAAAAAACAATCCATGGAGACCAGCAGTTAGCGTAATGGCTATGTCGCTGGACTCCCATGTAGTTGACCACGGTTCTCGTCCCGGACCTGGTGGCTTAAAACTCACGCTGGGCGCGTGTGCATGTGTGCCCAAGATCCTGAGAGGAGAATGGAGGAGAAGGGATTGTGGCGTGGCCATTCCCCCTGGGGGATGATTTCTCGCTTTCTGTCTCTCTGTCTCTCTCTGTCTGTCTGGCGAGGTCTCTCTCTGTCTGTCTGGCGAGCGCACACACTCAAAGCAAAAACCTCACCAAAAAAAAAAAAATGCATGGATTTCAAATTTTTTTTGCACCAAAATAAACTCATACTTTAATTCCAGTTTCCCACAAACTTTAAAGTCCTTCTATTTAAATAATTTTTTATTAGCCCCTCGCTTTATTTGTGGTGTGTGTTTTCTCCACTTTGCTTTTAATGCTGTTTACAGTGCCTTTGGAGGTAACAGAATTTTAGAAGGTTGCAGTTAGCTCTCAGTCTATTCTGTTTTGGTTATCTCTCTTTTTATCCTGAGGAAAGCCTTTTCTCACTTCAGATCAGATAAATATTCACCCATATCTTCCTCTAGTAGGCTTATTCATTTTTATTTAATTTTAATTTTTTTTTTTTTAGATTTTTGCTATACGGTATATATGCTCAGAGAGAGACAGAGGGGGAAAATGTGAAATCATCCCCCCAA